GTTGGATACCTCATTCTCAATGTGTTTATTTCACATTGCATGCCGGTATCAAAACATCTCATGTATCCCATAAATATACGCATCTAATAAGTACCCACAACATTTTTTTTTTTAAATAAGAAAAATAATAAAATAACTTAAAACAAGTTGCTAATGGCCTGATTCACATGAGAGGTGGTTGGTGTTGACTGCTTGCTGTGATTTCTGCTGGGGCCCCTGGGTTCTTCTCCTACTCTTTTAAATAGAATTATTCAACTTCTTACTAATAAGCAGAAATGAGAGATGGTGGGAGAGAAGGAGAATGGCAAGAGGAGAGAAGGGAAGAGAAGAAGGAAAAGGAGAGAAGGAAGAAAATAGAAAGCAACCCCCCCCCAAAAAAAAAAAACCACAAGCCAAAAGCCCTTCCAACACCCTCCTCCCATCCTTGTCTCCTCTAGTCTTCTCTTCTAGTTCTTCCCCTTACCTCTTCTCCCCTTTCTTCCACTCTCCTTACTGGAAAATCTTTGTTCTGTGGGAAAACTAAGTATATTTGCAGCAGAAAACCATAACTTAGACTGAAAGTTCCTCGTCTTTATAATTTCGAGATCATAAGGACCCTGCACAGACAATAGGCATGTAAACAAGATTATCAATTAATGTAATTAAATTAATATTTGATTGATGAATATTAATACAAAGGAAAATACTTCATATATTCTGATAGGTACTATATAATTTATTTTCTATGTACAGAAAATATAAATGGAATATATAGTTTCCAGAGCTTCTTTAAAAAGACTCATAGCATATTCTAATTTATACAAGCACATGCCTGTGTAAGCATGTGTAATATAATCCAACTGTAGTGTGAATGTATGTATATACATACTAATGTGATTAATCTTCTTTCTTTCATTTTCTTGTGTTTCATAAAGGAGCAATTTTCTATAAATATCTATTCTTAGGTATTTATATAGTAAATTTGAGGGACAAGGGAATTTGAAGTACTGATCAGGATTGGGATGAGACAGAACCTCATTTGTCATTTAGACAGGGAAATCTTAAGTATGAATACCTAAGAATCTGTATTCAAATGAAATTGCTCTTTTAATTTTAGAGTGACAACAGGATTTGTTTAGCCTAGATTACTTACTTTTTGAACACCTATTATGTGCTAGGCACTGTCCTAGGAACTGAGATGAAGTTGATAAGCATTGTCCCTGCCCTCATAAAGCTCACTTGAAGCTAGAATAGATAGACCCTAAACAAATGACACTAAACACATGAGCTCAATAAACTCTACAGTAACTTTGGTGAGAAAACCTTATGAAGGAAAAATATAGAGTGCTATGACAGGGTATAAAAGGGGTCTCCTCAAAGGTAGGAGTAAGGGTTGAAGAGGTTTCTTCAAGGAAGTAAAAGGAAAGCTATCTCAGAAGGAAGGAAGGATAGTAGTTACCCTGGTAAAAAAGTGAGGGGAGGTGTTATAGACTGAGAGGATTGTGCATACCAAAGCCCTTGTTTGACTACTGCTAGGCTAGAAGGAGGAAAGAAGATAAACAAGTTAGAATTTAATTAAAACTGGGTACCGTGGCTCGAATTTGTAATCCCAGCACTTTATGGGGGCTGAGGAGGGTAGATGACCTAAGGTCAGGATTTCAAGACCACCCTGACCAACACAGTGAAACCCCACCTCTACAAAAATATAAAAATTAGCCAGTCATGGTGGCAGGTGCCTGTGATCCCATCTACTTGTGAGGCTTGGGTGGGAGAGTCACCTGAACCTGGGAGGTGGAGCTTGCAGTGAGCCGAGGTCATGCCGTTGCACTCCAGCCTGGGCAACAGAGCAAGACTCCATCTCAAAAAAAAAAAAAAAAAAACAAAACAAAACAAAAAACAAACAACAACAGGAACAACCACCTACCATGAGCCGGGCTATTGAAATGATAGCTTGAAGATCAGGATAATTTATTAATTCATTAAGTCATGCATTAAGGCTACTTTGGGGATGCAGAGATAGACATAACATGATTATTGCTCTGGGAGAGCTAGAATAGATGAAGAAATCTAGAAACAAATAAGAGTAATGCAGTATTTTTGTTGTAATTCAGATAATGAGATGTTACGGGAGCATCAAAATGGAAGCCATGAGCTCTGTCACGAAAAACACGAAAGAGTTATTACTTGAGCTGAGTTCTTAAAGATGAATAAACCTCCTCTTACATGCGGAAGAGGCCTAAGTGCCTTCTAGGTAGTGGTCCTAGGAAATGCAAAGTCATGGGCCTGGGAAGGAGCATGCACAGTTAGGGAACTGAATGCCTGACTACAGTGAATTTGAGGGGCAAAGGAAGTTGAACTGCTGATCAGGAGTGGAAGGAGACAGAAAGAACATCATCTGTCATGCTTAGCAAGCTTTATTTCATGTCTAGGAAAGAGTGAGCCAGTTAAGAATTTATACAGGGAAATTCTATTCTATTTGTGTTTTCTAAAGACTTCAGAGGCTGTTGGTTCTGCGACGGAGTAACTGGAAGAGAAGTGAGCTTGGAGAAAGGTTGAACCAAGTATTAGGGATGAGGGACTTCTCTGCCAGCCAGAGAGGAGCAGAGTTAGTGTTTCAAATTACATTGAATTGAACATAAGTAAAATGCATTGTAACAGTATAGGAAGGAGAAACAATATGAGTGAAGTTCAGAAATCTTTTATTGTTTTTTCAAAGGACAAAATAAAGACTATGAACCAATAAGACACATAGTAAAAAAGTACAATTTTAATATAGTGAATATAATACATAATTCTTCATAAAAAGGTCAAAACCTTTAAAAGATACAAAAAAAGACATCTAAAAATCTTAACAGTGCTATATATATAATACATATATATTATATATAAATATAATATATAAATATGTATTTTTTATCAATAAGCGTTTTATTTTTTTGCAGTAGCTTTGTTAATTGCACAAAGTCACGTTTTTATTTTGGCCATTTAAATATTATCACACAATCTTATTCTGAAAGACAAATGTTCATTAAAAACAAAACAAAAATAGGAATTCACAACCTTAATTACTTAGATTTGTCATTTAAAGCTTTAAAGCAAAAAATGGGAGGGGCTTTCTTATAAGCTTTTTCACGAGCTTCACACCTTCTCCTTAGAAGAAAAGGATTTCAAAACAAAGGTGAAATAGCTTAAACAGAAATGTTCATAAAAATGAACTTTGCAGAATTGTCAGTGATATTTAAGACAACATTGACTAATTGGTTTCATTACAGTATCTTTCTCTGCCCCACCTATATTATGTCCCACCGGGACTAGAACAGCCTTTGCGTTCAGACAGAAATGCTTCAAAATCCCAATGAAATTAACTGTGCTAAAAACCCAACAGGCATCTTTCCTGCCCTTCCCCCTCATCTTCTGCAATCCTGTAACCCAGGTTCTACTCTGTGAAAGGGGCCAAAGCTGTGAACAGGGAGGGACCAGGCCACTGTGCGGCCGGCCACCTTATATGTAATTACACAGTCCACCACAAATGCTGGCCTTCTGTAAATTATGGTTTTGGAAAATCAACCCATGCAGAGGGGTAAAAAACTAACATCTCTTGGGTGACTTCTCCTTTTTTATTTTTATTTATTTATTTATTTATTTTGCAGCATTCCAAGCCCTCTCTGGTCCCCTATCCAAGGAGAAATGCTAGGGCCTCGAGATAGTGCTATATATTTTTTGAATTAAGTGATAAATTTATATTAAGATTGTTTGAATACGTTTTCAAAACTTTCAGAGTACAGGTCATTGTTAAGTTTGCCTTTACTTTAAAAACTAAAAGAATGTATTTCTATATAAACCAGCAGTCAGGAATTTGCCTTTTTTCTAGCTTCTTCATCTATCTGAAATATATATTTAGTTACCAGTACTCCTAACCAAATAGTTAATAAATAGCATATAAAGTCAAAGTTTAAAAGTAAATGATGGCATTTTGCCATACTAAGAAGAAACAAAATGTCTAAAATTATATAGAGAGAAAATATTAGTCCTCATATAACTTAAACTTTTAGAAATTCTGAATAAGGAAATATATTCTACACAGATAAGGTATGATATACTCAACTTTCTAAAGCAAAATAATTAAATAATATTCCACGATCAAGAATAAGAAAATTCTCTAACATATTCCCCAAGAAACATTAAAATATTTCCTATTTCTTAAAATAAGATAAAGACAACAGTGAATCTCCATCAACAGAATTCTTATGAAACATCATTTCCATATTAAATCCACAGCCTTCTCAGTTAACAATTTAAGGAATATTTCTTGGAAATATCATAGCCAACTTCAATTCAAGACACTTTAAAAGATTAACAACCAGTGATTCTTGGCTCACACTACAGTCAATTGCCAAAAACTTCAATAGCATAGCAGATAAAATAACAGCAAATAGCTGAAGTACTATGCTAAACAATTCATTAGCTGAGCTGAAAGCTTAAGGGACAAACAGGTTTTCCTCACACTCTTCAAAGTGAGGAATCTAGGAAGAAAGCTAACTACTGGAAAAAAAGAAAAAAACACCTTCCTTCTCGTCTTCCCTGGGTCCAGAGACCTCCAGAAAACTGCTCTTCTGAAGACTGGGCAATTTTTCCATGCGTGCTCATTTCTTTTAATCAGTTTTCCTGTTTCCATTGTTGAGAAAATAGTTATATTAATTTAATCATTTTTCACACTCCTGTCTACTCCACCCTGTTGTCAAAACTCAGTGTTATAATGTCTGGTTACAAGAAAGTATATAAAAATCAATAAAAGCAAAGCGTAAACAAAAAAACATAACTTAGTGACAAGCTGTGTGTACTTGCTCAAGTAGTTACATGTAAGATTGGTAACAAAGATTTTCCCAGGACAATCCAGAAGAACTTTCCCAAGTTAACGACCTTTCAATTCTAGGCGTGGAATATGTTACCTCAATCGTACAGAGAGTAAAGACCTTGTGAAATCTATGGTCTCCCTAGATGAGGTTTAAAAACCACAAAGATCAAAGTGACAAGTACCTGTCCAAAATTTTCTGGATGACTTTCTTTAGAAAAGGGGCTTCTGGATCAAGACAAACTTCCTCCCCGTTCTTCATGGAGGCTCTGAAGGAGAGAAAAAGAAGATGCACTCATGAGACATCAAGGTTGAAGACCCAGGCTGGGGGATTTCTCTCTTGCTAAGGTCACAGTGGACACAGCAACACAGGAGAACTTACATCACTTCGACCTTGGAGCACTGCGGGCCTGGGGTGAACACCTGCAGATTACTGATCATTTTGGGGGGAACTCGCTCCGTAGTGTGTAAACAAATGCAGCGCAGCTCTCTCAACACAGCAGCGACAGGACCAGCTGGGGAAGAAAGACACATTTATAACGCAGGTTGCTGGGAAAATTCCCTGGAAAGCAGTGGTCCCGCAGAGGCTGGGATGCACCGCTGTGCCCCAGTGCGTCCCACGTGCCCTGCGCTCTCACCGCTGGCGAGGGGCCCCGGCGCCGTCAGCAGCAGCAGCAGCAGCGCCAGCGGCGCGCACAAGGAGCCCGAAGGACCGGAGAGACGGGCCGCACGGCTGGACAGGAGGCTCATAGTGGTCAGGAGAGCGCTGCGAGGGGGTGCGGGTTCCTGGAGGCGCAGAGATTGAGGGATGCGGAGCACTGTGGCTTCCTCATGCCTTCTGCACTCCTTTTATTTGCACTCATCCCTTCCCCCTGACAGGAAACTCAAGCTTTGGGATGCTGGGGAAATTCCCTGAACTCAATGTGGAAAGAAGAGATTGGTGGAGGGGGACCCGACGATGGGACCTGGGGAGGAAAGTGGCCTGGAAGAGCTGCGTGCACCCCCACGGAGGAGGACATGGTGGCCCTGCCCGGAGATGGAGGGAGTTGTGGCTCCAGGCAGAAGGCAGCAGAGATTCATCAGGGCTTCATCTCCTGGGCCTGAGGTGGCCAGGGATGCCAGCTTTTCTAAGGCACACGGGCTCTGGGAGATGCTCCTCCTCTCCTTCTAGAGAGAAAAGATGGAACCAAAGTAGTGGGAGCTCTGACATGAGAAAAATGTCTAAAAGTCAATCCTTTCTAATTATTATGACTATTATTCAGGAAATCTTATTCATGTTTAGAATTGCTCTAAACTGAAAGTCCTTTCTCTTTTCCTTGCAGGCAGGTCATTCTAGGTTTCTTGAATGACTTTACGATTCTCTGGACTTCAGCCAGTTTTAGAAGCCAAGATAAAATGATAACAAGAGACTGTGTCTCTATTGCCACTTGAAGTCAGTGACCTGAAAGGACCCCTGAGTTTTAACTCCCCCACAGACCACCTTCTTTGGTGAGTAAGTCCACTTACTGAGAATTTTCTACTTGTAGTATAGCAAGTATATGTGTGTCCAGGTAGTTAAAACAAAAATCTTCCGAAATCACCCAGCAAATTGCCGTGGAAGATAATGTACTTCTGGCAGTTGCTGTGCTATTGAATTTGAAGAGGTTTTGGCCTTATTGGGGGTGAGGTATAGTACAGTGAGCACAGACTAAACCTTGCCAGGGAGCCCAGGCCTGCCCCAGCTCTGGCCCAATCCCTAGGTGTGTATTTGATGCGATTTGGAGATGCTGTGGGAGGATGATGAGTTTGAGGGACTCTGTGAAAGCTTCTTTTAGGGGTTTGCATCTATTTGACAGGACAACAGCACCCACTGTGTTTTCCCCCAAACAACTTCATCGGAGGAGGAACGTTTCCCACAGGCTTCTGAACCATCACGTTTCATGATTACTGGTGACAAAGACTGTTTCCACAGACCTGCTCTAGTCCCCATTGAGCCCTGCACTGCCACTTGAAATTGAAGGGCGAAGTAGCTTCCAGCTTCCTCTCCCTCTCTCCTTCTATTATCTGTGGAGTTAAAGCACTGAAGGTTTAAGCGTCTTCTACTCTCTGGCTCCATGGCAGGCATGGATGGCTATGGCACTGGAATGGCACACAGGCTTTCTTTCACAGAAATCTAACTAGATCCCCTCCCCGCTGGTTCTAAAGACCCTTGACCTCACAGCAGACCAGCAAAGGTAATCAGTAAACATTATGGCAATGAGAAACCAGTAACAAAACACAACTCTTTTACTTGTCTCCTATGATACCGGGAATTTTATTAACTCCCCACCCATCATCTCCATTTGTGAGCAAGACGGAGGTCATAGACCTTTAAAACTTTTATTCTGGAAGAAAACTTAAGAAATTCACTGGCTGAGGAAGGTTGGGTGGTATGGTCCTTACTCTGTGGCAAGCTAAATGAGAAGTTCTCACAGCTTCCTGACACCATCAGCGTCACACGTGACTCGGCAGATGGAATCCTTCATCTTTCTGGAGAGTGGTAATCTGTAGAAAACAGCCTGCAGATTTAGTATATTGACATTTTAGAGATTAGCGTGTATCTAAAGACCAAAGATAAACCTTGTTGAAGTGGTAAGACTTAAAAAAAATCTTGGGCGATTAAATTTAACTTAACCACAAGGAATAAATTACAGTATAAGACTTTGTTTTTGTTTTTTTTTTAAACTTTGTTTAATTGCATAGGTTATTGACTTTTACACCGTGTGTGTGTGTGTGTGTGTGTGTGTGTGTGTGTGTGTGTGTGTTTAGGTTAGCTCTAAATAAGCTGCTTTAAACCTAAGTGAACATATAAATTTGTTTTGGGCACCAAATGGTGAAATTAGAGAGGGATCATGAGACAAGATTGCCAATTCCTACTGATGGTCTTATAAATGTATATATCTCACCTGGTTTGCACTCTGAATCAATTCACTGTAGCTTTTTGATGGAACACAAGAAGAAAAAAGTATTTCTTCAGCTGACAGGCAGGTGATAGAAAGTCCTCACTAGAAGTGGGCTGCTGGGTTGCCCAATCTGATCAGAAAGCAATATATCACTTAACCTGGCTTCTCATGGAAATCACTCTGGCCCACTGCCTATGTCTGGCTCCCATGTAGGCATCTCAGATGTTGGCTTTGTTCAAACAGGTATGGTCGAAAGGTCCTCTGTGCTGAGCATGACAGCACCAAGAACCTTTGAAGACTCAGCACTTTGACAGTAATTGCCTCTTTATCATCAGTTTAAACAAAAGCCATTTGTCTTACCTGCGCTGTGTCCAGGTTACAGAGAAAAACTCTGTGTTATTTTGTTCCCAACTAAAATAGAACAATTCATCCAATGGTATCAGCATCCTGATAGTCTGAAGGTTTAACTGTCTGTCTAAAGCAATCCTATTTTAGTCATTATACCACAGTATAATGTAATATGAATTAATACAGTATAAATGGTTTTTGGCTTCCAAAACACTTTCATGTTTATTATTTCTTGAGCTCCACATTAATTCTTAGATAAGAGAAATTGTCTTCCCCATTTTTGCAGCTAGGCAAAATGAGTTAAGTAGTCAAAAATCCAGCACTGGCAGTCAAGCACCATTATAAACCACATTCTTCTCAGTTGCTGGCAAGCACTCCCCGGTGGATCTACACAATGTGGCTAACCACTTTATTGCATTTTCCCATAACCACATTTTAAGTTGTTGAGGTCCTCAATCCTTCCACTCCTGTCTTTGAGATTGCAATAACATCAAAGGTCCTAAAGGCTTCTAAGACATTCCACCTGAAACCGTCCTCTGCTTTCTAAATCCCTCACTTTCTTCCAGGTAGATTCAAAGTCCTTTCTTCTTCGAGAAAGCTAATTCTGACAAAGTCATTTGTAAGGTATTTCTTCACCTTTGCTCTTTGAACCTCTAGTTTAATTGTCATAACTACCTCAGGAGACAGAGTTTAATTATTCCTTAATTTTGCCTTTGTCTGCCTCAAGTCAACTACAAACTCCTTAAAATCAGTGATGGCCTGCATTTCTCACATAACCTCCCATGATTTCCTAGATGAGTAGCAGTCTATGAACGCTTGGTGATGAATAATGATAATACCTTTTTTAAAAAAAAATTAGTGTCCTTTACCTTACAAGTAGATAATAAAGAGAAAAGGATGGAGTTGTTTATCATCATTAGCTCCTCTATTTTTCTAAACTTTACAATTTTGAATTGGCTGCCTCCTATGTGGGAAATTATTTCTTGGTTATTCTTAGAGAAAATTAGAATGATACTGATATTTTCATTCGTTGGAATCCAAACTGTTCAGAATAATGTTCAGAACCCAGAAAGACATTTAATGTTAAAAACAGTAAAATTATACAACTAAAATATTGACCAAATAACATAGTTTCTGTGACATTGAGACTGCTGGATGTAAATGACAAGTGGAAATTCTGATTATGTTATACCATGTTGAATGTTAACAGTGTGGGTAGGTCATTATGCATTATCTTTTCTAATAAACCAGAAAAGCCTTAAATTATATGATTCAGTATTAAGCATAGGCCTTTTCAAATGTTTTTCTAAGGTTCTATTTTTTTCATATCCAATATTATCTTTAAGAAATGCTATATAATTGCAATAACTAAGGATGTGAACACATTATTATCAGGTTAATAATATCAAGGGTATCAATATAAGGAAGGCAATAAGAGTTTAAGCAGAGGATAGAGTTACTTGTATGCAAAAGGAAAGAAAAAAGTTAGTAAACCTTGGGTTTATGTTGCAATGTAAATGCAGCCTGTCTGTCTCTTAAATTGGGCTCCAGTTCAATGAAGAAGCAGCATCATCCAGGAAATAACTTTGCCTCAAAGTTGCTTCACCTTTATAAAATGTCAGGAATATTTTATTTCCTTTTGCCAATTATCTAATTTTCCTTGCTGTCTGTTTCAGGTAATATCTGCTGGAGGAGCAAAGTCTGTGAACCCTGATTGAGTCTATACTGAGCTAAATTCCAAATTATCATACCTGGGCTTTTCTTTCCTACCTTCTGTGTGGCTGAGGCAGCAAGTTATCTGTTGTCCAACCGTGCAAACCTTAGAAAAGTTTTTGTTGACAAATAGAGTTGATACATGGGAGAAAAAGATCACAATTTAAATTTTAAGTGTTTCTGAGAAGCCTTGAGCTTCACAGAAACAGGAAGTCTTCATTGATTTCTTCAGAAATTTGTTCTAGGCTAAGCAAGGAAAACACGCACACACACACACACACACACACACACACACACACACACACACATACATTTATATATATATATATATATATATATATATATATATATATATATATTTCATTTTAGGTTCTGAGGTACACATGCAGATCATGAAGAATTGTTGCATAGGTACATACATGGCAATGTGATTTGCTGCCTCATTCCCCATCACCTATATCTGGCATTTCTCCTCAGGTTATCCCTCCTGAACCTCCCTATCCACTGCTGTCCCTCCCCTTCCCCACCCAACAGACCCTAGTGTGTGATGTTCCTCTCCTTTTTTCCATGTGTTCTCATTGTTCAACACCCACCTATGAGTGACATGCAGTGTTTGATTTTCTGTTCTTGTGTCAGTTTGCTGAGAATGGTTTCCAAATTCATCCATGTCCCTACAAAGGACACTAACTCATCATTATTTATGACTGTATAGTATTCCATGGTGTATATGTGCCATGTTTTCCTTGTCCAGTCTATCATCAGTGGGCA